TGAGAAAATCTATGGTCATACTGCGATATTACCTCTGAAATCTTTAGTCTTAAAGCTACACCTCTGCAGAGATGAATATAGAGAATCTAAATTGCAGAAATCATAGGTGACTTAAAAACAATTTATAAAAAAATCAAGATTTAACATTTGTGTTGACCAATTTACGTCAACTCTTTTGATTTTTTTTACCTTGAGTTTTAGTACTACACTAACGGACTAGTCTGCTACCTAGTTATCTCATCTTGCTTATAAGAATATTATTAATGCTATATCAAACCTATTGATGCTATTTCATAACAAATCAGTAAGCTGATTTAGCTCATGTCCTTCTTAGGATGTGTTGATATTAAATCTAATATAGCTAACCCAGAATAATGATTGTTAACATACAAGTTAACAATCCAAATTTTATTTTTCTCTTTCAAATATGCCTAAGTAACACATTTTTTGCAATTTTATTACAAATTTGAAATATTTAGATTTACAATCCAGTGATAATTAAATGCTTTCTTTAGCATACTCATGTAGTGACAATTTATCACCGATGGCTGTGATACTTATAAACGATTGCTTACATTGTCTTTTTTTAAGAACTGATATTTTTCTATCGTAGTTACAATTTTTCCATGTCACAGAACAAACAGAACAATATAAAGAACGGAAAGTGAAATCGATTTGTTATCATGCAAATAATTATGTATCTCCCTTATGCACGTAATTATCAATTTTCATTGAAACCATTGAATTGGAATTCACCATGTTTAGAACTATATTAGGATATTACATTCGAACTCAAATGGATTAGATGGAAATTGCTTTCCGCATTTCTGCATAATTTCGTTAATAAAATGATTTTGCATCAGTAAAATTATAAGAATTTTTAATCTTCACTTAATATGAAATCACTTATTTCACTAAAGTACTTTTTTATCAATTCGAAACTTTCCGTTAACACTAATCTGTTTTCATTGATTTTGAGTTTGATTGCAGTATCACAGTACATAGCTCCTTAGAGTTTTATTTTAATCTATTTTACGTTATAAAGAAATTAGAACTTCTTTATATAAATTCTGCAAAATTTGTCCAACTCTGTGGCCGTAAATCATTCCTATATTAAATGGTAGCAACAATTACAGTTTCTTAATCAATCATGATATACTGCATATTGTTTCCTTTATCATTTTTGTTATAATTTCAAATCAAAACAAATTTTATTAGGGCTACTTCATCCTTTATTATAATAAAATAACCCAACGATAAAAATGTTTATTAATTCCACGTTGAAATATATTGTTGATCTATATTATATGCTATAAGATAACTAACTACCTAATTTTACGGTTATTTTGAGCTATTATTGGTGTAATAACGCTTTAAAAACATTTATTACGCTATTTGGAAACTGGTAAATTATTCTAAGGCCATATTTTAACAGCATGTGCAAAATAACTAAAATAAACCAATTCAAACAATTCTGTTTTTGAGCTGAATTTGTACTGAATTATAACTATTACTATTGCTAGGTTTATTTTAATTGAAGCCGTTGTCATGTACTTGATTAGTGATATATACATGGTTATTCTATAGCAGTTAGTAGCTGGTAATGAACGTAATGATTAATATGGAATTATGAATACTATTACATGTACTACTGGTACCTTAACTTAACACCATGCATTGCAGTTATTGCAAAAATCTCTGCCAACTGAAAATAAGGACTCTTTTCTACTCTTTGCAGAATAGATTTATTTTATATAACAATGCCATAAAATGAAAGTTCTATTTTTAGTCGATGCAAAATTTTTTCTACCTCTAGTTATTTGAAGCAGCTGGCATTTTGATAAGAATAGCTAGTAGCAAATTCTGCGAATAGAGTTTATTCAATCAATCATCATGGTCAAGTTAAGCCGGCCAAGGCGAATATATACTATAATGTTGACCGTATTCATGAAGACTTCACCTAGTTGCAGTGAACAAGTGCAGTAAGTGTAAGAATTAATGAGGGTGGAGAGAAGGACGGCAACAATAGCTTCTGGCGAATACAATTCTCTAAGCAAAATGAAGAATAAAGTTCTACTGCAATCACTAAAAAAAATCAATGCTGGTTTAGCAGATTTTGTCAAATACTAAATTCAATATACAGCAAAAAAATTAACATTAATACATACGATGCAAGCTTTTAGACTGTTTCCTATAACTCTCTTCACATTCTACCAACAGCCGCTTCCATCCAAATTAGATCAAGGTTTGGCTTTGTTCTTAAGTATTTAATAATTTGTTAATTGTTCTTTTAATACAAAGAAATAGCTGTCAGTCACAATCTTATTAACGATTGCATTTAGGTAAAACTTGAACAAACCAAATCTGTAATTGCTATATTCTTACGAAATTCCATTATTTAGTATTATTTCAGCATGATGGGCTGCTTTTAATAATGTTTAGACTATTAAAATGATAGTATTTTAGCTTCGATTAAAGCAGCTGTAAGATGAAGACATTTGAAAGCTTTTCGTCAATCTGTCAATATTTATTGTCCATGCTAATAAAGCTTTCGTTTCCGCTATTGTGAATTCAACTAGTCAATTCCAGACGATTGTATTTAGCTGTGCTTGATCATCTAGTATAAGTGTATAATTCTTCAATTGTGTTGATCCACTTGAGCCAGATTTGATAATTTATTCAATTACTACTTCAGAAATGTTAATTAATCTTCAATGATAATTGACTTGAATTAATGTAAACATCAATCGACAAATAGAACAGTCAATATGACTATTTTCTATCTAATTTAAATCCGAACATTTTCTTTCAGGATGCTTTATTTTAAATAAGTTCAACCATATCATTACATGAAAGAAGCATACCTTGGCTGTACTACTAAAATTTTGTAACGACTACGAAGCATAACGTAGATAAAAATACTAAACAAAATATTACTGACAAGGTAGTTTGTTGTTTTTTCTAGTTCATATTATTGATTATCTAATTATATCAATGAAACTTTAAAAATAGAATTAAATTGAAATTCTAAACTGATTTGCTATTTAGATTTTCAAATCTATGAGAATACAATTACTCTGTCTCATATTTTTCTTACAGGTAATGTTTTACCTATCCATCTTGACAAACATCGTATTCATACCTAGAACTTGTAACTTATTAGGTATCAGTATATAGACAATAGCAATGGCAACAATGACGTAATACTTCAATTCAATGGATTTAAATCCTAGTGAATCGCCATAGTTTAATACAGTAACCAAATCTGTTTAAAGAAAGTATCATTTATTTGGCAACGGTAGTACAGTCTCATAAATGGCTTTGAATAGAGTAATTTGGTCATGGAAGTAATAAGCAATAATTATTACTTCACGTAGATAGTTATAATTGAAAAATTTTGCTCATGACTTGTTCCATTTTATATCAACACCCCAAAATATTAAAATCAAGGCCTACGATAACAGCTATACGATTGTGACCGTTACCCCACAAGGAAAATTTATGCCGCATTTTCAAAGTTAGAAAGAAGGGCTTTTTAAAATCTGTTTCTAATTACTGATGACCAGTCAACTTGATTGTTATTGACAAGATAGAGCATCAATCAACAAGAATTGATCGGTTATTATTTAATACGAAACATAACCAATTGGACGTGAAAGTGAAATGGTTGAAAATTTAGCAATATAACTCAGGATAACATAAATCTTTCAGCACATGGAATAATTCATCCATAACTAACATGTGTGCTATTATACCTAGTTTGCTAGACTATTAAAGTGGATATTGTTACCTTAATTGTTATTGTTATTGCCAATCTTATCAAACAATTGTTGAGCTATTGAATTGGTGATTCTTTTATTATCTAATGACTTCTATTGTTTTTAGCTTAGCTAGTAAAAGAGACATCGCTGGAAATACTAATGAAATAAGGCCTTAATTGAATGCTTGAATGAGTTAATTACAGTAACTGCATCGGCTATTTGTCATAATAACACCTGACAATTTCTGTTTCTGTCATGGAATAAAGTAGAGAAAGAGAGGCACATGTCTAAATTAATAAGAGACTATCAATAGCAAGTAGGAATCGATCCAATCCAAAGAGATTTACAATAGCCAAATGGTAGCGGAGAATTATTCATGTTTCACAAAATAATAGTTGTCAATACAATTGAACATGCTATTGACTTGAATGAGACAAAAAATTTCAATCGTAAATACAAGTGTTATTATAACGTTGAGGGTAAGCAACATGTATCGATTGCTATTGAAATTTATTGCGATGCCATTGAATTGTTGTTGGATTGATATTTGATGGTAGAAGACAGTATATTATTAGAGTCCACTTGAAATATTGTCATAATTGTTGTTTAACTTTGGCAGAACAACCATCAAAAATTAGAAGACTTGGGACTTTTACTAGATTTTTATTAAAGTAAGTGATGTTGAACGGAAACAGTAGATCAACTAATAAAGAATTTACGAATGGTAAGCCGTGTTTTATATTATTTTAGTTATATTAAATCAGAGTAACAAGATTGATTACAAAATTAATGACATCAAATTGAGTTCAATCAAGGTTCAATTTGATTTGAGCAATATCAACTAGCTGAAAACGATCATTCAAGCATCAGTGATACTATTTGTTCAGTGATTATTATTTTAAATCTTTATCAAACGATTGATTGTGCCATCGTTTTGTTCACATCATCAGCAAGCAAATATGATTAATATTTCATGAATTAGATATGTAAAGTTTCCATGATGAATCTAAATTAACAGACATCATCAAATAGTAATGGATCGTTTTATTTAATTAGGATAGTAATTACCAACTAATATGGATATTATTTATATCATTAGGTCGATCTTGCGTTGTTAATAGCCAAGAAGTGGAAGACATGAAAACTAATAATACTAGCGACTTAAATTCTCAACAGAATGACCTGGGTAGCAGTCCTAGCATCGGCAATGGAAACGATGACGAAAAATGTAATAAGCCTAAGCGACATCGTACACGTTTTACACCTGGGCAATTAAGCGAATTAGAAAGATGTTTCAGCAAAACTCATTATCCTGACATTTTTATGCGCGAAGAATTAGCTCTAAGAATCGGATTATCGGAATCACGAGTTCAGGTAAGGAGGATCTGCCTGTGATTATATAATTAATATAGCTTATGAATTGCTTTAGCTAGATTCTGGGTGTGCAAAGTTTTAAACTAAACTATCAACATTCAAACTTAGCTACATTAATGAGGCTACGTTTATTTTCTGCCGCTTTAAGGTTCATTGATTGAATAGAAATTAATCTTTACCGTCTCAAGATAGTATAAGTGAAACTCCATGTCTTTACATTATACAACAATATGCCATATTTTGGGTAGAAGTAATTTTAAATACTGCCGAAATATCGATCTAATCTATGAACTACGGTACTTAAAAATGAAATCAATTTCTTTTTCTAATAGTTTTTCTCTGAACTCACTTATAAATATGCCCGTAATGTTCGTTGAATCCTGCATAATATTCTAATCCGCTACATTAATTAAGTAAAGCAATGACAACTTCCTAACCTTGATCGATGATTGCCAATACTAACTGATGACGCATGTTAGGCTATTAAGAGGATATTTACTTCACTTTGGTACTGAAAAATGAGAAATGATGCGAGTGGAACAGTTGGCGTAAGCCTGAGTACATTATTATTAACAATCTCCGCCTAAGATTATTGTTTATAGGTGAACATTAAACAGGTTCTGGTTTTAAGTTCATTAAAGATATATTATGTCAACGCGAATTGTGCACTACTACGGTACTCTTCTGAAAGAACTGCGTCGAAATTCATAGATTCTATATCATATGAATACAAACTCAGACTTTTTTCCTTATCTCTAAACAGTATTAGATTTTAACCAGTTATTACGTTTAGTTAGCTGATCATTTACTAATAAATTGTTTTTACGAAAAAAGATATTCTTAAAAAAATCTCTACTGACTGTACTTGAAGAGTTTTCTTGAATTAGTAAATTGGTATCACGATTATTGAACGACTTAAACTACCTTTAACTTTACAATTGAGAAATAAACTACTATAAAATTTATTCAATGCAAAAATCCACGTTTTTATAAGACAACCCTCAACTATAAAGATGTTATTATTCCAATCCCTGTTGAATACTAAAATGGCAGACTTGAATATTATTAAAATGAATTTGCTTTTCCAATAATCAATCTTCTTTGTTAGCTTGTTAAGGGTCAATATTTGCCCTGATAACTTATTAGATGAGTCATTACCTAGGAATTAGATAGAGAATATTTAATAACAGCCTATAATATTCCTTCTTATCACGTTTATTTAGCTGCATAAATATAATGATTATTCTCGATCACTTTATATGTACTACCAGCATTCCCAATTTCAGAAACCCTGTATCTATATATTTTTTATTTGTTACGGATACTGTAAGGTCCTTATGTTCTGAGATAAATTTTTTTACAGGAATACTTCGCTATAATTTATAGAGAACTATTATTAAGAAACTTTACCGCTGAGCAATCTGTGGGGTTGTTTATCATTAATAACGCTAGGAGCAGTTGTTAATATCTAATATCGATATGGAAATTATTTTTTGCAATTTTCAGCATAAACATCATTAGAAACAGCTCTACTTTCCAATAGTCTATAACAAAAAATGCAAGAATGAAGATGCCTGTCAGTAATATTATCATGGCATCTAATCTTTCTTTTGTCCGATCAATGATCCATAAATCTAGGTCTAGTAGATATGATGTCTCTGCCGTATTGATTGATATTAGTTAATTTTAGTTTTACTTCTTATTTCAGTTATACAAGTATACCGGTTTATAAATCTTCTTGTAGATATATAATATCAGCTACCAATTTTTTTCCCCTACTAAGGATTAATTCCATTGAAAATTTGATCGATCATCATTTGTACTTTCGATTTCATGCTATTTGCAATTTTTTAATTCATATATTAATTTTATTCTATCTATGAGTTCAATTTCATCTAAAGTGTTTTGGCCTCCGGCTTCAACGATTCTGTTATTAAAAGAATTCTAGCATTACTTCGTCCAGTTTTTCTACATAGCTATCCTTTGTTATTTAGTTTTGTATCTATATGCTATAGTCACGAATACGTTTTCTTTGTTTTTAATAATATAATTAATGCTTTTCATAAATCTCCAATCGATGTTGAGAATTGCATTATTGCATCAAATAATAGCAAAATAGCAGAAAGCTTTTCTACGCCATACCTGGTTGCTGTATTCTCCTGAAACGCTGTATTATTCGGCAACAATTTATCTGTTTCTCGGCCAATGAATTTTTTTTACATTTATCCATGATGTAATGAATTGATTATATAACAATGTGCAAAAGTTGGGAAAGGCACCCCAAAAAGTAGACATCAATAGATTGTTATAGTCCATTAAAGCTATGCATTGCGACTGTTACAGTAACATTACATGAGACCTGCAAATTTTTCTGCCAAAACATACAACGCTTTTCCTCTTCACATAAATTATTTTTGTTGCCAACTAATCATAAATCTTAGATTTAAATTCAGTATTCGCCATAGTTAATAAATAGAGAAATCATACTTTTTGAAAATAAGGCAGGCTACTCTCTTTATTGAATACTCACCGAGAATTCGATCCTTTTCTACGTTACGAAACTGTCTGTCTACTGCTGAAATAAATTTAAGCATAGTTGGACTTGCATATTATTAGTACTTATATTACGAATATCACTACAGTAAGCAAATGATGAGAAATACCGGGGATAAGCTAGAATCGATGCTTTCTTTCGACAGTAAAAATTGTTAATTTCTAGTTCAATCGTCATTAGTAAAGCGATCACATCATAAATCAGTGAAATCGAGATTTTAAAGAACCTGCACCGTTAAGGCTTATCGATTATTTGCAATGTAACAGTTGTATATTTTTATTGAAATTGTTTTAGCTTTCATGCTTTCGCTATTTCTCATGTACTCATGCTGTAGGGGCTCACGAAATTGTTTAGTACGTTATCATGCAATGATAAAAACGAGATTGAAAATATTAGATCATGACAATAGTCCCTTCCCATTATGCCGTATATCCTAATCCTATCTGAATTGTTAAATTATTCTAAATTAAAACCAGTGCCTTTTGTCCTTAATAAAATATTCTATCTGGCTACTGCTTGCGTATATTGCTACAGTATTAACTAGTGCAATAATAGTAGCATAATGTCAAAGCCGTTATTCGCCAACACTCGCCCACTATTGATTTCACCCATATGTAGTTGAAAACAACTATAATCGGCTGCATTGCTCATAGTCAAGGTAAATGCATCTAGAAAATGTTGTTCTATCTGCATATTGTTACATAATGTTATTACGGATCTTTACTATCAGCTTTTATTTTCTAACGGACTTCACAAATGCTACATGGTTGACATTTTTCGGAATAAGCAAGTTAATAAAGTGATCATCCATTGCCATTTTAGCTGAAAATTAAAGAGGAAATAGATACAGTCTTTCTGATTACCTATCTCTCTTAAACAATACAGTAATGTAAATGGACTGAAGTAAAATTTAAAAGTATTAAATCTCTAACAGAGAATACTAACAATTGTTGGGTCTAGCTGAAGAATAGATGATATTGAATTGAGATACTTCTGATTGCTCCCTAACAGAGATATTTGTACCCACGAAAATTAATTTCAGTAATGATTATTTTCATAGGTATAAAATAGAGAAATCATGGAGCGTACTAATTTTAATGTAAGATATTTACTACCAAGCCTAAGTATTATCAATAAATTTCGTTCGAAATAGTATTATGCGCACTACGCGTACAACTTGCAGTGCGCTATTAAACAATAATAGTTATAACCCTAACCAAATTCTGTCTAGCTATAACGAAGCAATTTTAGGAGTTTTTATACGTACTTTACAGCAATTGCACAATAAACTTTATCAAGTCAAAGACATATGTTTCCCCCACAACGAATAAAGCAACTCAATTCTTATTTATATTATACAACTATATTTAATGACATATTTTCATGGATAGGCTAAGCTGATTCTATACCCGCATTTGCGACAGTTCTTAAAACTGTAATACTGTTAATATATACGTAATCGTGATTTTTTGGTTAGCATAGTTACATTCTAACAATAAAATATCCAAATTTGACATCGAGAAACTAGCAACCTCTGAAGAAAATAATTTTAATTTACCATAAATTCTCAATTTTGAAAACACCAACGTACTAGTTACTAGTTATTAAAAAGAAATATTATTGGCACGCTTTACGATATAATTTCAAGAGAGTTTAAATATGCATTCATAACCGAATAATACATAAAACTCTTTTTAAGAGAGAAGTAAATGCAATTGCTGCAATTAAGACTTATCAATAAATCTAATATAAAGAGAGAATACTGATAAAGATAAATAATTATAATTTAAAATGGCAGGTATGGTTTCAAAATAGACGCGCAAAATACAAAAAAAAGAAGAAAATTGGCTCGAATGGTAACTTGTTTGCCTGTGGGTCAACATTGCCATCAGGCCAGCCCAGTATTAATAGTCATAATTCTGTTATGGGCGAAGGTCTAAGCTACGGAAATTATCATTCAGAAGAGCCTTGGCCAACATTAAACTCGACCGTAATGACAACATCGCCATCACAACCTGTTTCGTCCTTGCAAGTGCCTAGTAACCATCTATCTCAACATCCAAACCAACATCAGCAATCCATACTACAATCTACCGGTGGACGAAACTATCAACAAAATCTCCATCATCATCAAAATTATTCCAATCAAAATAATTCTAACGTCAATGGAGCACCTAGCATGTTCACATCACAGCCTTCCACTTTCCAAAACGCGCAATATGTCAATCCTAGATTGGCTGCTGCTACTCACCAAGGCGTTTCCTTAACTTCGATGCAACCAATTAATCAATCAGTGGCAGTTAATGACTCATGGCAAGGATCTAGCTTAGCAAATTTACGTCAAAAAGCTTTAGAGCACAAAGCCACCATTAACTATATGTAATATTACAAATTAGAAAATCATAGCAAGCACAGTTGGTCTAATACTTAAGAAAGCATTGCTTAGTTCTAAAACTTATTAAAATTATGTTTTACATAGGCTAAATTTAATGCAAACTTGTATTTTCCCTAGTTCAACAACCTAGTTTAATCCGATATGTAACAATAAATTTTTCCGAATTACCATCAATTTAATTGGCATATAGATGATAAATCTGAAACAAAATGCAAATTGATAAAAGCTCAATCCTTTTTTTCCTCACCAATCTACTAATGAATTTCATCCCAAACACATTGAATGCATTAAAGACAACATTTTGTGTAGATCAAAGTGTTCAAATAGATTAATGTAACTACGTAATATCAGCATGGCTTTGTTTCATGCTATATTTATCAATCGCCTATAAGCTGCACTGACTGATATATCTGCCATAAAATTAAATCTGACTACTTAATTACAGTACCTGAATAAATTATTCGATGTGAATTGTATTTTTAGCATGTATTTCAGCAAGTATAACGCTATAATTCAATAATAATATATGAGTTTTCATAATTCCATTCAGCGTAAAATCTGTATGAAATCTTTCTATAAGATGAAGTTAAAATATTATTAGAATTCTGTTAAAAATATAGGATTTGTTTTTCTGAGCTTGGTAGGATACAATTCATAATAAATACTGATCATCATTACATCAAAAAAGGAATCAGCAAATAGAGATTTCATCCTCCTGTCAAATATTTTCTACGAAGACTTTCTAAACAGTATTTTTCGTTGCACTTGTGTAGATACTAGAATATATGTCGAAATAACTAATTGGTTTGTATGGACATCATTCTGAACTGTACAGCAGATAAAAATAATGATGGCTGTATCAAAGAAAATCAAAAGTACGGCGAAATTAATTTTATCCTTATAATGCTTTACCTAGTTATTTCAGTCGTAGTTCCATTAGCTATTGTAATTTCAAGTACAGCCGCAGGCAATATCTAAGCCCAATAAATAGATTTAGCACAATTAAACATACTAATCCTCTATTATATATGGCAGAGCATAGATTATTACATGATTGTATTTCTATTTAATTTTACGTATATTGTAGAAGTGCTTAAGCAGGTGCAAAAGAGCGATAATTCAAGATGTCTGTAGATAGAGCTTTATTGCTCGATATAGCTTATTTTAATTTAATTCTCTATATCTAACCTACAATTATGATCGACAACCAGCCCTATATCCTAATTTATCATTGAAATCGACTATTGGTTTATAATTTTGTCCTCATATTCCTACACCAGAAAGAGAAAATGAAAAATGTAGTTTAAATTTATTGGAGATGTAGTAATCTTCAATTTACGTTGGGTTAAGCATAATTAACTAAGAACTTTAACTTAGGAAATTACCCTTGCTTGTAGTTAAATAACAAAATCTCTTCGAAATATCTTCTTTGAGTAGCAAATTTTCGAATTTATTACAGTGGTTGTATATAAATTCTTGAGGTTGATATTAACATTAATAATATTCATCTGAATTAACCTTCAGGTAGTCAATGAAGCATTTATTCAGAAATGAAATAAAATTATCTGAAATATATCATAACTTAAATATCGCCTCATTACATAAATTCTTTCGTCTACTGAATTAATAATCCTACATATGATTTTACTATCTCATACTATCTTAAAATCTCAGTCTAAAATCATTTTTGCATAAAATCTAAAGTTAAAATGTTGAGATTTCAAGAGTATCGTCTCTCATATTGGCGGTAGGCCTCGAAGATTTTTCGTAAAAAATCAGTCAACGAAATAATTCACTTACTGTAGCCCACAAATTAAGAAACCCTGAAACTAATAAAATAAGGCCGTATACTAGCGCACTTGTACATGCATATAGAATGGCAGCATAGACACTGTCTCAGAAATGAAACTTGCATATCATATGCAAGACCTGTTTTAATGAAATTCATTCATCTTAAAAATTCGTCGAAATAGTTCTTTGAAGGAAACATAAGTTTTTTTATTAATAAAAGTAAGATATTTAAAGAGATATTCGACTAATATCGTATTACAGTTATGTTTGATAACTACAGGCAGCAAATGCTAGGTCTCATTGAAAGTCATGAATGAATTGAAACTATTCTAAACCACTTCCAAACGTATTAATATTCAATAATAAGGGATAATTCTTTTTCTAGCCGATATTTGATGAATAAATAAAATAAAACTCATAATTATTTCCCAAATTCATCTCTAATTTAATAAGATCATAGGTCACTTGTTCAATTGCTTCGCTTAATTCAAGTAATAGAAACGAATTAAGTTAGAAGTAGTAGTAATATCGAAAAAGATATTTTATTCAGAATTTTTTTTTAAACTTTTCCTGGAAACGTTGATATATCACCGACAAATCCTACTTTACAGCTTTTCATTTTACAAGCAAGAATATGCTGTACGTACAGTATGCACTGTACTTTATTGGAATTATTTTCTTACTCTTCCTGAGTCCTATCAACGAAATTACAAAGATTATATACTGTACCGTGTTCAGTAATAATCACTAATAAAAGCCAATTTTAGTAAATATGTCCTACGAATTAGTGACCACAGTTCCGAAAGCAAAAATTCTATCGTGTACATAGCACGTGTAACAGTAGATGATCTAACTAGAGTCAGGAAGAATCTTAATTTTAAGCCAGCCTAATATAGCCGTTTAACCGACGCTAATTATATCGAGATTGCTTCAATTAGTTGCAACTAAATCTACGTGAGCAATTTTATGCAATTTATTCAGAAACTGCTCCGAGTCTCGTATAACTAAAGTTTTTAAAGGGGGAAAAATTATGACAACCACATTTTCCATTGCCATAATCGAGATAGTCATCGAAATAGAGTTCAATTAACATATTTATTGCCTCCTATCTATTTTAAATCAAACTACCGTTAATTATAGACTAACAGGCCGTTTCAATTAGGGTTTATAACCCCTCCGAATTTTGTTACCCCGGAGTCCAATCCATGATTTGAATACCATGATGTTGAAATTTACTTCAGTAACAGTCTGCTTACTTGAAATCAGGCTGTTCTTCGGATACACTCCTATAGATAGCAAACACTAGAAAAAATAATTAAAGATTAAGGAATGGGAACTAGCTAAAATGCTTCAATTTAACAATAGAAAGTCTATTGATTGATAGATTAGTAAGTTTTCTCAAGGCTTACATTGTCCTACCTATTTCACCCTCAGTAGAAGACAGTAAAGTGATTTTTGCTCTACCGCATATTATAATACTGTACTGAAGCAAGCACTAATATAGCTTTTCAGGATGGAGCTCTTATCTAAAACCAAAAATCTTAAAAGTTTACTTTTGTAGAGCTTAGATTGGAAGATTGTTACCGGTGCTATTCGTCAATTTAAGTAATGCTGCCGTTGGACATCAATTTATCTATCAATGTCGGTTTAGACAAATTCAATGCAACCATACTAATATTTTAACATGAGAAAGTGCTCTATGAATTTTAACTAAGATTCTTTATTACTTGGTAATTTCATTAACTAGCACTACTATCACTGCTATCACGACTTCCTTCAATCGGTACTGGAGCACGAAGTTTTCTTACGCAAAATATGATGCAAAGTGAAATCGCTTGACTAACGCGAATATTTAGTCTGCTAGCTGCAAAAAAGTAAAGCCTGAGCATGTAAACAGACTTTAAAGTCATCAGCAATCAGTGAATTATATTACTTGAGCCCGTTTTTAATATCAAAAGAAAAGGAAACGGATGCTTTGCATTTCATGTTGTAACTACTGTCAAATAGTCTTCATTACAAAGTGATAAATTATAATTTTCAATAAGAAGCAAGCTTGACAATATTGTTAAACTATTTTACTATTAAAGGTTGGTCAAGTAATTTTACTAAATCAGATTATTAAATCAATACGCTTGCATCTGAAGGCGAGAAGATTAAAATTATTAATAATTAAAATAACGCATCATCATGATAGAATCGTCTCATGATACAATCATCTTCAAGATGACAATTCTTGAATAGACATCTACGGTTGAACCCGTAATTGTTCACCAATTAATACTTTATAGCTTACGTTTATCACTATAAGACTAGATAACATTCACTTAAGTTAGCAAGCGCATTATTAATCAAAATTCTATTTGGTTTATGATAGCAAAACTTCACAAGTCAATATCTCTGGTAATAGCCATGAAGCGATATTGTGTTTACACATTCGGACTGCATTTGAATTGATTGATAGATACCCTTCTTTCACTACTCCAGTAAGAAAAGATCTTATGCAATCGTTATCATAAGAATATTGCTTGCACACGACCACATTTAAGTAGTGAATAGGATGAACAATCAAGCAATCACTTTATAAATACGATGTCTGCAACTAAAGTTTTATTATCCTGACGAATAATAAAAATCCCTTCTTCTTCTCTACAACT